GGGGGGGGGGGGGGGGGATTTTGTTATATTTTTTCGAAAAACGCAACAATATCTGATAAAAAATAAAGTGAAAATAAAGCAAAATAATTTTTTAAAGTAACAAGGCAAAATATTAATTGTTTTCATTTTCTTTTCTGGTTTTAATTTTTAAATCCACTCATATAAAATAAATAAAAACTCTTCTGATATTAAAGCTAATATTGTGAATTATTAAAAAGTTAATAATTTATAAAAAATTCAATTTTCTTTTCTTTTTTTTAAAAAAAAATTGAAGATTTACAAATTACATCCAGGCTCCAGGTTTTGAATGTTTATTAAATGGGGGGGGGGGGTTTAGTCTCGGAAACTTTATCATTATGCTCTTAGACATTAGCAACCATACGAAAAACAGTACAAGCCAAAGAGTGAACCATAGTGTCATTAGTGTTCAATCAAGAATCCGTGCCATAGTAAAATTTGATTATTTCAATACTTCTACAATTTGTTCAAAATATAATGCATCTGTAAAAAATCCAGCCTACTTTTCAACAATTAGAAAAAATATTTGTGGATTGAAACACAGGTAACTAAGATATTAAAAGTATAGGCCTACGTTGTAGGATTATGAATGAACAATTGCTTTAAAAGTATTTTTTTTTTTTTTGGTGAAAAAATCGTTATAATGTAAATTTACAAGAAAAAATAAAAATACTTATTGTTTTCATCATAATATCAATCCATTTAACTACAATTATTATTAATAAAGTTTGCTTCATTGCTTTGCAAACCCCACTTCTAATCAACAGATTTACAATAATAAAAAATCATTTTTTGATGAAGAACCTTTTGCCTTTGTAAAAGGAATTCTGTGTTGATTAGCCTTGTATACTTTTTTTCCAAGTGACTTCTATTACACATGTATTGTAGATGATATTTTTACCAGAGAATTCGGAGGTAATATTTAGTAGCATACTTCCAGTGGGTATTGATATTTTGGATTATAAATTATTTTTTTAAAAACAAATTGTTTTTTTTTAATTTGATAAACATGTTTTAAATGTCTTTTTCAATAAATTTCAGTCAATTAATGTACCATGTTTTTCAGGGGCATTAATTCAATCTATTATTACATTAATTAAATAGAAAACCCCCCTTTTAAAAAAAAACCTCTTATATATTTTTATGATCTTGGGAAATCTTGGGAAATTTGTTCACCAAACCTTGGGAAATTTAAAAAAAGTGAGTGGCAGCCCTGATCTAAATTACTATTTCCGATTTCTATAGTTCACTGTTGATAAAATTTTTGCCTACTACTATCAACCAATAATAGTTACTGTCACAAAATAAATTATGGAACGTTTTCCTCGAACATTATGTAACTTAAATCTATGTAAACGTTGCACATGCTTTGTACAGTTTCGTCGATCTCTTCATCAATTTTTTACAGAACGGCCCAAAACAATTGCTGCTTCATCAAGTCACTCACCGCCCTTGCCCTTGTGCTTTACAACTTGTTTTAAATTGAATTTATCATTTAATACAACACTCTCACTGACAGGTATAGTGAGGAGGGCTTCGCATGTACATGCCCGTTACCTCTGGGTTCATACTCACAAAAATCGTGAACAGGTATTATGACAAGCTGCAGACTTAACAAATATTATCTCCCTAGCCCTATAGTCATATACTACTATACTTTAAATTTTAAAATTAAACCTGAATAAACATATAACAGTCCTCGTTCACATTCTCATTCATACTGATTCATAGTATTAGTAATCATTGTTAGATTTAGCAATGCTATACTATGTCTAACACAAGGCACAAGGAAAGTTTACATCTCTGTTCAGCTTGATGTCTAGATTTTTAATGACTCACCATAGCCCTCGTTCACATTCTCATTCATACTGATTCATAGTATATTAGTATTAGTATTAGTAATCATTCTTAGATTTAGTTTAGCAATGCTATACTATGTCTAACACAAGGAAAATTTACATCTCTGTTCAGCTTGATGTCTAGATTTTTAATGACTAAGATGAGATAAGATTCTTTTATTGATCCAAACAAATTGAAATGTGTTATGATTGCATTCATTGTACATTTTCAGCACATAAATAAAACAATTTGAACTCAAGACATTTATAAAAAATTATTTCACTAGTAAAAAAAGAAAGAAAAAAAGCCATTCAGTGAGTTTTCTTAGCAATATCAGGGACTTATTAATTATCATTAAGATTTGGTTTCATGGGGAGCACGCTGGTAAATTCGTAAAGGTAAAATAGCTACAGGTAAAAAAAACATAGCCTCTCACATCTCAACTCAAGAGTCACTGGCCTAATGTATTGACAACAAAGGGGATGCAACTGGAACAATAAAACAATGACATCACAACATCCCCCTCTGTCACGAAAGAGGGGGCAGATCATAACATTGACCATAATACATATAATAAGCTCACGATAACTTAATTAATACACTGTCTTTCACAAATTATAAAGCCTTTCATTCTTGTAGTCTTCATTTCCCGCCCTGATCAGGTTCTTTGTATGTTCTTGTATGCTTGCTGATGTGACTCAGGTTCAGGTTTATCTGGTACCTCGGGGATGCCTGATGTCATGATACTATCAGAATTTGTATTGGGTGTGTCAGTGTGTGCATATGGTAGAGGGGCCTCCAGCTGGTCCCCAGGATGTTGAGGCTCTGGAACTCTATGAGATGCAGTAGCAGTCTGATCATCCATTAGTACAACTCTTCTTAGATGAGATCGATTGCAACAATAAATACCACCCCCCGATGCAAATTCATATGACTTTTTATCAAGTTTGCTAGTGACAACTCCTTTTTCCCATCTCTTATTGCCTCGTGAGTATGGTTTAAGTCTCAACGCATCCCGCTCTTAAAGGAGTGGTAAATCCTTAGCCTGTGTATTGTAATAGGTTGCTGATCTCATCTGCTTTTCTCTAAGTATTGATCTCTGTTTCTCGAGATCAGTCATGTGTGGCTTTAATTTTAATAGGCTTTGGGCTATTGGTAGCAGTGTTCTGGTTCTTCTATTGGAAAAAATCCTTATTTTTAATATCTTGGCCCAGGCCAGTGCCAATAAAAAAATGATCAATTACTAAATTAAACACTACTTAGTTAAGCTTCTTACTACTTAGTAGTAGCATGCATAAGCTAGTGGGATAGGCAGACAGTTAAATCATTGCATTAGTTATTAGGTTATTAGGCCTTTTACTTTTATGAGTCATTTTTTTTTTTTTTACATTTTAATTATATTTTTGTAACTATTGAAACTTAGTTTAAATTAATTACAAAATAAATGCCTCCCCTCATTGGATCTTTAAATGTTCACCAGTCAAAGTGTTACATTTTTTGGATGTTTTTCATTACAGAGAATCCAGTTTCACTGATGTAGGGTGCTTCCAAAAAACATAGTCACATTTTGTTACTGGTACAACATTTCCATAGTTGTGGAAATTCATCAGAAGAAACATGACGTCATCCAAAATTTATTTGGCCATGTTTTCTTATGTTTCTTTATAAAAAAATACTTTCAAGAATCGTTCCTACTCTGACTTAATTGTACTAACTTCAAACAATCATAACGTGTATCCTGCTTTATACTGATACTCTGATCTCTGAATACCAGATACTTGTCCCCAACGTCACTTCAACAATATAGAATGGAGACACACTCTCCCATACCTCGCTAGACTATCTGTTTAAATAACAATGTGCCATAAATGGTTCACACTGCCCACCATAGCCATTCTATTGTGACAACTTTAGTACCCCAGCTCCCATTTCTATTACTCTGATCCGAAGACTTTCCCAGCAGTAGTTACATAAATGAACAAATAGCTACACTATAAGTTACTTTTGGTTTCTCTATTCATCTTCCCAATGCCGCTAGTTATTTTACCTGATACCCTCACGATGCCTCCCCTGTATAAGCAACAGAAATTAGGAGAAGATTATATCCTATTTTATGTCGCCCAGGTTTCAAAATGGTTGCACTGCAGTTGTGCTTAACATTACTGATTCATGTCAAGCCATTTGATGGCTTAGCTTTTGTGACCTCCCCCTTTTCCAAGTTACAACTTCTTCTGTGCTCTCATGCGATTTCCCAACAAAACTGAATCAAGGAATGTGGTTTGAAAATATTTTTACCCTAAAATGTTTTATTTTTTAAACACATCATAAGAATTTCTCTAGCTATGACGGCCCATTTAAATCAGCTCAGGGGCAGCGGGTTGGACAGTAATACTTTTATAATTAGAAACTTATTTAGCCAAATAATTTTACAAAAATTCATAATAACTCCTTTCAGCTGTGACTTTTTTCTTTTATATGTATATTACCATGTTTGTGGTCCCTGATATATAGAAGAAGAATTGTATTGATTGTTTGGTCTTTTTTTGTTATTGTTAAATAATTTGTGTCCATTATTTCAGATTGGATTAAAGCCTTTATCACAACAACTTTTACAGATTAAACTACCAGTGTTATTAAAGAGACTAGCAACAGATTCAACAAATTCTAAAAATAAACCGGATGGAACTGTTCCTGTAGTAAGTAACACATTTATTGCTTAAGTTTGTTTCTTAAATTTTATATCCTCAATTTTTACCAGCTTAAAGATAGCATGTTAAAGAAATCTTACAATTTTATATTCTATACTAGTTTTCAAAATGTCGACTCATATTTTGTTTATATGAAAATTATATGTATAGAAAAATATCGGAAATTTTTTCAAAACATTCTGTGTTTTTTTTTACCTTACTGAGTAAATTGATGTTTTTACAAGTATTTAAAAAATGCTCATGATAAATTGTTTATATTTGTTTTGTTTTACAGCCACTTTGGGCAAGGTTGCTCATTGTCTCTTGTGTAGGTGGAGCAATGTACTATATGTTTAGAAGTGCAGTTAATGAAAAGGCATTAGGTAAAATAGTTTAAATTTAATTAATTTATGAAGAGAAAATACATTTCCAAGCTCTTTATATTTCTTTTAGGAGCTAGAGATTAAGTAATTCATAAGTATCATACCCATAAATAGCTCTAAAATATTTCCATTTTTTTTTAAATTTACATTCATTTTGAAGAATATTTTACTATTGATTTGATATGATTTGCAGATAATGAGGAGTTGAGATACAAAGAATTTGATAAGATTCAACTTGGAGGAGACTGGAAATTGACAGATCATAATGGAAATCAACGATCTAGTACAGATTTTCGTGGTCAATGGATTATCATGTACATGGGGTTCACACATTGCCCAGACATCTGTCCAGAAGAAATGGAAAAGCTGGGACAGATTGTAAAAAGTTTTGGTGAGTTGCACCGCAAAATCTCTATCTTTTTCTTTTGGAATTTTTTAAGTAGACATTATTTTCATTGGGTACATATGCTTCAGAGGTTTCAAAAATATGCTTGCCTTTTTAGCATTATTTTGTTTAAAACTTAAGTTTTAAATAAACTTACTTCACAATCCTCATCTGTTTTTAATATCAAAAGAATAAGAAAATTACTAAACCTACTATAGAGTTTATAAACCTCTTGAAATTAGGACATTGACACTGGAAGAAATATAAAATAAAGATACTTTTTTTAAAAGTAGATGTTACTATATACTTATTACATACAAAAGTGTAAACTTTTTATAATGCAACACAAAAACATATGATCTAATTGAACATTTGATTTATGAAAAAAGTTATTTTTCAAATTTATTCAGATGACAATCCAAAGATGCCTCCATTGCAGCCCCTGTTTATAACACTTGATCCAGAGAGAGATACACCTACTGTCATTAAAGATTATTTGCGAGGTATTTGTACTTACACTTTTGGATGAACTTTTTGTTTTTTAAATAAATACCACTTGTCTAATATTTGCCAGCTCTGTGGCACTGTGTTAATGAATGTCGCCTGCCTGTGGTTGGTTCATATTCTCCATCCTAATTCATTCTTTGTTGGTCCATATATTTTCCTGAGAACTTTTCTCACCCATGTGTTTAATAGGTTTTCTGCCATTTTTGGTAGGGTCCATGTTTCACTTGTGTATGTTAGTTTTAAATAAAGATTTCTTTGTTTTTCTTGTAATGCTTTCACTTTTGAGTATTTTCTGACTACTGAAGTATACCTGTTTCCTGCCAATAGTTTCTTTTAGTTCTGCAAATAATTCTTTTTTTTTTCATTTAATAAAGATCCTAGGTATTTGAATCATTTACTTTTTCAAAAGTGTGTTTTCTAATTTTAATGGTTTCATATGTCTTTTCTTCTCTAAACTCTTTCACTGCAGAACAACGCACACTACGTTCATCCGCCGTACTCAAAAGCACGGACCAACACGCTCTGCGTTGTTTCAATATCATGTTTGTTTCTTTGCTATTTCTCGGTTAAGCTTTTTAAGAGCTATTTTTAAAGGCTGCGACTATTCGCACCTGGGTATGAGAAGTGAGAGGTTGGGATTAAAAAACTATTTAAAATATTATTGTTGGGTTTGTAAGACAAAATGAGGTATCAGATGAAAGATAATTGAATGGACTATCTCTACTATTAGTTTGCTGAAATCCTACTACTTTTTCTGCTGATCTTTTCAAAGCATTTTTTATCCTCCTTTCCCTCTGTTCATTTAGATGCAAAACTAGATGAGAATTATTCATTTTCTAAATATTATTAATTTAACTAAATTGTCTGGATGTAAAAGTGAATAATTGGCAGGAGATATTAAAAAAAACATGCATTAAAAGCCATATTTTTCAAAGCCATTTAATGTATTTTAATTTTTCTCATGTATTTCAGAGTTTCCCTCACCACGAATACTGGGCTTTACCGGGACGGAAGATGAAATCCGTGAAGTTGCAAAGAAGTTTCGAGCTTACTTTGGAAAAGGACCAAAAGACGAAGACAATGATTATATTGTAAGTATTTTTTCTACCTTACATACTAAAAATAATGTTCAAAAGTTATGATGTGTTTCAAAATAAAACACTTTTTTTTTTCTTACAGCCCATGGAATAATTTATATATTTACGATATCATAAAACTGTAATTTATAATTTTATAAAAAAAAATTTATTCTCATGTCTCTGCAGGTGGACCATACAATCATTATCTATCTCATTAGCCCCAAGGGAGATTTTGTGAATTACTATGGAAGAAACCGAACTGCTAATGAAGTCATACAGTCTGTCACTAAACACATAGAAAAATATAATGAGCTGGTCAAACTGGAAAAGATATGACCTATGAAAAGTTATCATTATGTCATATTTTATTGCTAAACATATTTTAAAATAAATATGTGTAATATTCTTCTAAATAGTTGAAGATTAGTGACTATCTTTGACTATACTAAAGCAATTCTTCATCTGTGCACGAACTCACTGGCTAATTTTGCAAATTTATATAATGCTGTTTATAGATGTTACAGTTTATTGTTAATTTTAAATTTCAAGTATAATATAAATAAAATAAGTCTTGTAATAAAATGATTCGAATGTTTGATTTTTTATTTTTAAAATTAAATTATGCATGTATCTTTCTCTATAGACTGCAACAGATTTAGCTAATAGACATTTTTGTATGTTAGAATTGAATAAATTTCATATTTATTTCATAATAATATTAATCATTCATGCCATCAACTAATAGTACCTTATTCATTACTAACCTGAACGTTTAATTTATCATAATTAGTAGCCTAATACTAATATGTTCTCCACTGAGAATGACTTTTGTGGAGGATAAAAGCAGCCTTTCCAGAATTATTTTTACAAAATGATGGTGTTTTGTGATGCAGCAATGGCTACACGTATGAGCCATGACTGCTATAAGACAGGGATGGCCAGCGTGTGCGCCTCATGTACCCACCAAGTCAAATATATATATTGCGTCCCACTAATGAATGATTAATGACAGTAAACTTATTTGTTATTTATACAAGTGACAAAGAAATCGATTTTAAAAAGAGAAGTGAGAGGAAAGATAAAATATCACATTATTTTAGTTTTATTCTGTTTTTGTTATTAAGCATCTCATTATGAGCATAAGAAGAGTTAAACATATCTATACAGCATTTAGTGGGTGTTTATTTTAATATAAGGTGTTATGACATGTGACCCGCAAGCAATTTATTTGCTATTGTTGTGGCCCATGAAGCCTTTTTGGTTGTCCACTCCTGCTTCATGACGAATCAATATTTTTTAAACCATTGTTCCATCAATAATTCCTGTGGATTAATGATAGCTTTACCAAATTAGTTTTTATACAATCAAAGTAAGATTACATAATATGTATTATTACACCCTCTATATTTCTGATGATCCATATTTTTTGGCCTGTGGTCCTTGTATTGACTCAACTACCTTTCTCTTTATGAATGCATAGAAAGCCCATAAAACCACTAACAAGTTCCTTAGAAATTATCCCACCTTTCCCAAGACTACAGTATAGTAGTTACAGGAGGAAGCACTTGAACTCAATATTTTAAAACTAAAATACATGAAGCAATTTAAACTCTGTATATATTTAGCTCAGTCCCTTATCTTACCATTTTCCTTGGTCTTGGTATTATCATCTTAAGTACTGGAGGTTGAACTTTCTATTTTAGTACACATCATCACGGTGTCATATTTCATATTAACAAATTCCTTATGCACACCATTGGGTCTATGATTGTCCGACATGTGCCTGCTTTTTTAACACTGACAATGATTGCTTGAAAAGACATGTGCCTGCTTTTTTAACACTGACAATGATTGTTTGAAAAAGTATACATTTATCAATTTTAATCATAACCCCATCCACCCCCGAAAAGCTCAGCCGCCAAAAGCTGGAATACCCCATGGGCAAGATGTGTTAATACAGACCTGTATAGGAAATTTAGGAAATACAGAGACAAACACTCTAAGCTTGTTGTAAAGTTATAAATTTACAAGCAGCAAATAGTGTTTGTCTATGTGTTTCTTTTCTTTCAAAGGCTTGGTGTGGTCAAAACATACTCTTTCTTTTTTGTGTTGTCCTTTTTTCAGGCTTTCCTCTACCCGTTGCATATAATTTATTATTGTTTTAAATAGGAAAAATGAAACCATTTAAAAATGGATCACTTAATATTTTTTTTCTCTTTTCCTACTTTTTTTTTTTTTTTTAAATTTATTTATTTTATAATAAAGAACTTTTTCGTTGCATATAATTTATTATTGTTTTAAATAGGAAAAATGAAACCATTTAAAAATGGATCACTTAATATTTTTTTTCTCTTTTCCTACTTTTTTTTTTTTTTTTAAAGTTAATTATGTTATAATAAAGAACATTTGCCTAGGCATAACGGCATAGTGTCAGAAATCCAAAGTAACTATCTTGGTTTTATCTTGCATCTCGGTAAAAAGCCGAACCCTGTTTGAAAACGGAAGTTCGAGCTAGGTTATTTTATTGAAAAAGTGAAAGTAGCTCAAGCTCAGTAAATAAATATCACTTTCCTCCCCAAAATGGAAAAGTTTACTAAAGCAAACATAAGACTTTGCTCTTTTTGTGCTAACAGTTTTGTTAAAAGACCATTGCTCTTAAATTGTTCGAGTAGTATTTTGACCACAGCAAGTAACACAGAAAGGTCATTCTCCTATGGCGATGGTAATACTAATTGTACTCCATTTAGACTTAAAACTACTCTTACCGATGCTACCAGTACAAGGACAAGATGCCTCTCTTACGCAAGCCTACAATCGTACCAATTTAACAGGGGAATTGGTAATGTTATTTCTAAGCAAGGCCAAGAAAATGATAAGGTGCAGTAAAGATAAAAACATAATTATTTCGGTCAATCAAAGAAGTAGCCTATTAGTAATTAGGCTTATTACTTATTAATATTAGCTTACTAAGATACTACTATAACTATATAGCTTCTAGTTCTAGTTTGGGCAGCGAGCTATTTGTAGTAAACTACCAATAGCTTCTAGAGAGCTATTGGTAGTCAAGCCAATCAAATCAAACAAAAATCTGAGCTTTAAATACCCACTTCCAATGAGGCTGGTGAAGTATTGCCCCATTCATTTATCATTTATTATTACTAGTTTGTACTAGTGCTAGTGACAACACCTCTGCACTAATTATAAAATCTACAGTACCGTTTTAAAGTTTTAACACTATCTACTGTAGCCTTCCCCATGCTCAGATTTGGCTATGTCTGGCTATGTTGCTATATAATTTATAATATAGATATAAGATAGATGTAGGGAAGGGGATCATAGTCTGAATTTTTTTTACCCAGCTTCTTCTTTGCCAAGGCCAAAGTAAGATGTGCAGTAAAAATAAAATCCAGCTGTAAACATTTTGTGTGTGCTAATTATTATGATTAAAATTATAAATTAAAATACAGGCCTAAATAATTTTAAAAAGTGTGCATATTAAAATCAAAATCTTTTTGCTTTAGTTAAATGAAACTGTATAATAATGTGATTAGGCTTCGGCTTATATAAGGCTAAGGATGATAAAATAAGCTTAGGCCAATCATTGTTTAGGAGCATGGTCACTTGAACCAAACCCCCCCCCCCCCCCCCCCACAAATTAATCAATTTAATATTTAGAAATCACTATTTACTATTTATTTTTTAATGCAATGCAGAGTATGTAGAATCAATGTTTTAAACTGCACATAATTTTGATGAAAACATAAGCAGTGATACATAAAGAAAATATTTATGAGACTAGACAAAAACATGTTTTGGCACATTTTTTTATTTTTGGCAACATTCATACTTTAGTGTGATTTCAGTGTTGTAATAAAAAATAAATTGTGACTACCAATAATTATTGCACTACATCAATCTATCACCAATTGGTAGTTTTTTTAAATAGTAAACTACCAATAGCCGGTTAGAAGCTACTGGTAGTGGAATACCAATAGCTCTCTAGAAGCTATTAAACCCATAGCCACAGCATATTATTATTTTTATAGCCTCTTCGGTATTCTCAGCCTATTCAATATTTGTTAAAATTAAATAAATGACAGTACTATTACTTTAAAATTAATATTAGTATTAGTAAGTATAATAGTATGTGTATTGAGTATAAGCATTGTAGGTATCATAGTTACTACGACACACATATCAATACTATCAATTGTCAATAGCCTTTAATAGGCCTAATCAATTCTATCATATTCATTCACTATCAATTATCAATATTCTAAAATTCTTTCACTTTTACTATTAATTATGGCTATGTCTAGCATGATGATGATACAAATTATGGGTTGTGTATGGACATGGCATGGACCATACCATACTTGTAATATTTAGTATAAAATGGTTTCCATGGCCCATGGCCATTGTAAATTGGATTGTGATAGTGGGCAGTGCTAACATTATAATAAAGAAAGTTTCAAAATACTGAATTGGGTAGAATTCTATCTTTAAAAAAACAAATACTCTCAGTGGAGACACTATAAATACTTTAATTAAAAGGACTTTAATGAAAATTGTTTCATTTATATTAAGGTTAAGGGGCGTCCATTAATTACGTCAATAAAATAGGGAGAGGGTTTGGAAATGTTTGACAGTTGTTGACAAGGGGGAGGGAGGGGGATTTAGATTAGTTGACGTCAACAATCATGTTTTCTCTATTAAAATTTTAATCTTAAAAATTGACTGGTTATGGCATTATTTTTTAAAATGTATAAGTGTAAATGAGTGTAAATAGTCATAATTTTTAGACTTTTAACAATATAAGATTTATTTAATGTGTGTCTGTCTGTGCACTGCAGATGGCTGGTCAGAATGTTAACACACTTTGTTAGTGCAAGAGAAGTCAAAAGTTGGCCTCTCTTCACCTTTAGATTCTGTTGCAGGTATGGAACAACAACAAGGTTCAAATTTCATGTTCAGTCAAGATAAATGATATTGATAGAGTAGGAATACAATATTTTGAGAATTAGGTGAATGTAAAGTGAGTAACAATAATAACATCGCTGCTTGAATGGATTTGAAAAATCTGTAACATCTATTTGCATCACAAGGGTTCTGGGTGACAGAGTGGTCTAAACTGACTCACTCCAAATAGTGGTGTTCTGGTGTTCAATCCCCGCCAAAGCAAAATCTCAAGCACCCCGGGTGGATGGGACTCGTTAGCCTTGAAAGGCAACTCGTCTAAGAGAAGGCTAACTCTGAATTCAAACCAGGAGCCAAAGTGATCAATGCATTGATCGTGGGACTCAAATATGAAAAAAAAAAATTTTTAAAGTCATATTGAAAAGCATGTTCAACAGCACTGACAATGCTCTCTTGAGCATAAGAAATTAACACCTGCTCCTAAACAAAAGGATTCAAAAAGGACCAATGCGAGAAGCTGCAAGTAGATAGAGCTTATGGCAATTCACACCGAATATTGCTTCTATTTTAAGTGCTGAATGGTTAGATGAGGATCAGGGCAGCAAGATGAAAAAGATACATCAGCTACTATAGACTATGCCCAATCGGGGCGTCATTTCATTTTTTTTTTCAGAGGGGGGAGGGACCAAAACTTGGTCGGCTTGTTAAGTTGTTTATTACTGGAGGCACCACAGTACATAGCAATTTAAATAAAACCTGCAAATTAGGGGTTAGGGGGAAATGCCCCCCTGCCCTACCCAAATGATGTCCCTGGTACCCATTGTTACGATAGAGCATACCTGGCTACTGTCAAAACGTTGTATCTGTTGTGTTGCAAATCATTCACTCGTGGCAACGAGTGTCTATTCATCCAGCCAAGTCTCCCACTTGATCCCAGAACAGCACAACCAATTGTAATAGTCTCCAATTCAACAAACACTCCACGGTTCGTTGCAATACATGAATTTATTTAAGAACAATTCCCTCAACCAGGGCTGTGACACAACTATGGATTACTAATTCAATCGGTTCAGCCCAACACAAAGTAACACAAGTCCAACAGTCAAAATACCACATCCGCTATGAATCCTCCAGCACAACATCGACAAAACTAAGCGTCATATCCCCTTACACAATTACGTCACAACACTCTCATCCAACGATACAGCTACACATAAAATCTCTAACTAAACATCTTTTCCCTATCAAACATGAAAACAATGATCTACACATAACAACAGTGATTCTCATACCCTTGACAGCTACTCCTTGGGAAGATCATAGCAGCTAGAAACTATGCTATTATTGTCAGCTTTACTGACAATAATCATAGTTATACCACAAACAATGATATTTAGTCTTCAACAAACTTTCAATTGATTCTGCATTATAAAATTTAAGTGTGAAAATTTTTTAACTTTTTGATTAACAAGCTAAAGATGTAATGAAATGTTTTTCCTACAATTTTTGTCATTAAAATAGATCAGCACAAAGTAAAATGTATTATAAATTGATTTATTTTTTTTGGGGGGTGGGGTTTTAGAAAATGTTGAGATTAATTAAATGGGGGGGGGTGTTTGACAGTTGTTGACCAGGGGGGGTGGGGTTAAAAAATTGCTTAAAATTGTTGATGTAATTATTGGATGACCCCTTATCAGGCTGGTCCTCATAAAATAATTTTTGTCAAAATAGCAGTTGTGTAATTCATTGGAAATTGGGTCTTCACTATAGCCACTAATGACTAATAAGCTAGTGTCATTGAGCAAAAGCCATTCACCAAATAATTTTACTTAACTGGCAAAGAAATATCCTTTATAAAAGCCACTGGTACTATTGTTAACTTTCTTGATTTGAATGATGCTGAACAGTTGCTCAAACACTCCTCTTATTCTAATAAAATAGTTATGGGATGGTCTACAAAAAAAGTGCACCTTTGTTTCTTTTTGTGCTATATGAAAGGCAGACATTTTGTCATCACTCTATCTCAATGTCCTTACGGATCATCATGAAGAAAGTAAAATTCCCAATTAATGTAGGGCAACAGGGTGTGGAAGGTTCAGAACAATAAGTTTGCTTATTATTATTATTATTTTACCATTCTAACCCCAACGAACAATTTAGGTACCCGGTACACTTTAATTTTCTGGCCAGAATCTCATCCTCTAGTAAATAAGAGGACATATGTATATATCATTTGGGGTGGACTTATTGCCATAAGATAATTTCACACTAGTTTTTTTTCAAGTGAACAATAAAAAACTACTGTTCGTTTTCTTTCCTCAAGGATTTAAGATGCAAAACTCACAATTTTCAGCAACTGCCTTGTGCTGTTAAATATTCAACAGATTCATCACAGTCTCCATTACCATCCAGAAAATCAAATAGAAATGCTTCAAAGTCGGTAAGTAATCAAAGTCATTGTTTTCTGCACCGCAATAAGTTGCCTATAAGTATAAGGCTGCTTACAGGAATTTTTAACTCTTTATTGGATTTTTATTTCATTGTTATGAAAAATCAATATATTTTTACTGGTATATTCTTTTTAATCAGTTTCCTCTTAAATTATAGTAAAAAAGCAAGGTCACTGTTACTTTGGCAGACCTTGTAGCATTAACTGGGTCCTTAAATTTTTCATTTTATCCTGCGCCAATGGTTTTTAAACAATGTTAATATGGTATCTTTGACAACCCGCTTTGTTATTTGTAAGAAAATTGTTTACTACATGGGGTTCATTCTTCAATAATTGTTTAATTTTTACAGCCCATTTCATGGAAACTTCTGCTGATTGTTGTTGGAATAGGTGGAGGAGTTTTATTGTGGATGCAGTATCTCAAAAAAAAGAAGGAGCTTCGTAAGTACCCAAGCACTGTTGTCACTATTAAACTGGCAGCCCATTAGACATTCCTTTGAGAACCCATACCTTTATTACCGGAGATAATCTACTTTAATTATTTTAAAATTTATTATCACAAAAACTTCTTAATAATATCCTCATTTTCTGAAACAGGTATAGAAGCAGGACGTCAAAAGTATATTGGAAAAGCTCATTTGGGAGGAGACTGGACATTAGTTGATCACCATGGTAATACAAGATCAAGTAAAGACTTTCGAGGGCAGTGGCTTCTTATCTATTTTGGTTTCACTCATTGCCCAGACATCTGTCCAGAGGAAATTGAGAAAATTGTAAACGTCATCAATAAAACAGGTCTCTGTGATTTTTACCTATTTTTGTTACATTGTATTGTCTACAACTGGGGTAAATTACCCTAAATGTGGTATATTGAAAATCTAGGGGGTAATGAGGGCTCAACAGATAAAAATTAAATTACATATTTAAAGCATATTCAACGCTGCAAGTAATAGAGAAACACACCTAATATTTTATGTTAGCTAGTTACTAGTGGCTTGGCTGTTAGCATGAGCTCACATCTAGTCTTGTATGCGTGATTTTGGGCTAGTTGTCTATTTTATTTTATACTCCGTGGTGTCACAAGAGTGGGTTTCATCCATGGCTGTAGAATCATAGTGTCACCCTGTCCAGACTTCCTCCAAGGGGGCCTGTTACAGTGACACCTTGATCCACGCATGGAGACATAAAGCCATGGATACATCCAAATCTAAAGATGTGGTGGAGCAGGCCAGGGCCCTGCATAGGCTGTAGTGCCACTGACGATGAAAACATGCTGTGAAACATAAGTGATTCATCTTCAGTGTGCAGGCTAGTCAGGGGAATGTGACAGGACTACTCACTGTAAAATTGTGTCATCAACTTAGCCACCCCGTTCACAGACATGCACCCATTTTAGGCATCAATGAGTTGATGAGTTATGCATATCCCTAAGTCCTAAGGAATAATCCCTACTGTCACATGGCTTCAATAGTCTTGTCTAAAGTTGGCCTGTTGAATGCCCTATCCTCAGAAACATGACACATAGATGCCAGGTACTAGTAAAGCAAACAATTTTTATGGTTCAACAAATGGTTTCTTTTGACATATTAATTTTTTATCTGACAATTGCCATCATTTTGCTACAAAATGTTCAGCAGGTTACCTGGCAGTATTGTTGTGATACTTAATTAGTGCAGCAGAGCAAATGCTATTATGATTTACTATAAAAACGGGGCAATGAATTACATTAATTTACTAGTCTATTCTTTAAATTGCAATTTTGTTACACATAAAATGAATATGTTTCTTATAAGAAAATTAAAAAGTTGAAGAGTGATGTTGCATTTAGACCAGTATTTCCCAATGTGGGGCAAACATCCCACTGTGGGGCAATTTGAAAATTATGAAGGGACATTGAGTCTCTGGGGAAAATTGTATTTGCATTTCAAATACTGGTACCAGTAACTTAAGTCTGTAAAGCATCATTTTTGAAAAATGTCAAACCTAAAAGAAATCTGTATGTTGATGTAATGCAAGTTATATACCTTCAAATGATCAAAAGCTGAATACATCCCTTGAGGGTTTTCATTCATAGTATTTAAATTCTTGAGCACATTTTTACTCATGATACTAATCAAATTTATCTTGGAAATAAATGTTAATTAAGATCTTACAAATCATTTTTTTTTTAAAATATAAATTCATGTTTTTACTGAGAGATTTTTGTTTACATCTGAATAGAATCTATTAACTGAATTAACCAGTGGCACTATGGGGAAAAAATATATTATTTTTCATCAACATAAATTTTGTCATTACAATTAACAATGTCTGCATCTCTTAGTTAATTAAAACCCCAGGTTTACAAGTGTAACTGAATTACTGTATCATTTAAAAAAAAGACATATGTATAAAAAAGGCATGTCACTGCCAAGTTTGGAGAGTTTTCTTCAAGAGAAATTAACACATTTTTCTTTACTGCACATTTGTTTTTAACGTGAGATTAACCCCCTTTTCGTTTTTTTAAATTGTTTTTCTTTCATATTGATTTAGATGCTGAAAAAAACATTCCCAAAATTCAACCAATCGTTATCACGGTTGACCCAGAGAGAGACACACCTGCTGCTCTAAAAGAGTACTGTGGCGGTCAGTATTATCCTTGATATGTAGTTATCAAAATAATTTGGTTGAAATAGTACACGACAGAGCCACTGAAAAGGGGGGAGAAGTATAACCCAGAGCCGGGCTTTTTTTAGAGCTGTTGATTAAATTCGGGATAACTGATTAAAATAATTTTATAATTTATTTAAATGAATATGTTTTAGATATTTGAATAGAATCATACATTTTTAATTTAACATTTTTAATTATATTGAGCACTTGATGCATTTGCAGATTCAGATCTTTTTGAAGCATTTTTTTTTTAAAGTGATAATTATTATTTTCTGTTGCCTTTAGGCACACATCTTAACGTTTAGAAATATATGAAAATGTAACCAAGAAGAAAGCCAGTTATCAAATTAGTAAAAAGATTATCAATAGCTGTTGTTTAGCTTATAATGTTATGTTTTATCTGTTTATTTAAGTTACTGGGCAAACTATAAAGCTTGCACATTCATTTAAGTATAAAATTTGAGGATTAAGCAAACAGTATCGATTTATTATCCAGAATTTTCCCCACGCCTCCTTGGGTTCACGGGGACACAAGATGATATACTGAGAGCCACACGAGCATACAGAGTATACTATAGTGCTGGACCTAAAGATGACGACAGTGATTATATAGTAAGTCCTTCCTTCTAGAGCTTAAGAGCCTCAAAATTGTCATGTTTCTCAAAAATAACATTGAAAAGATAAAATTAATTTTATTAAGGAAGAATTTATCCACTAGCCATTAGGTTTTTTTTTTAATGTTCTACAAACATTTTATATGTTCTACATTAAATTAAAATTATTTCTAAATTTTCCTCCTTTATCAGGTTGATCATTCCATCATCTCATACCTGGTCAATCCTAAAGGTGAATTCGTAGACTTCTTTGGCCAGGACAAAACTGTGGATCAAATGTTTAATCTGATCTTGTTTCACATTCGTAAATATATGAAAAGTGAAGGAAAGCCATGAAATTATTATTTCAATGTTTCCAAAACTGAATTAACATTGAGTGATTGGGTCTATTGAGTGATTTGGTCTGTAATTTAATTTAATTTATGTAAATAAAAAACATGTTCTCATTATATCTGTTAATTATCTTAAATTTTATTTGTTTGCTAAGAAACAAAATGTGCAGACAAATGAGTAGAATTGTCATTAGTTCTTCAGTAAATTTATTACCGATTAGTTTTCTTGTTGAAGTAGTTGCCCGTTCATTTATTGTACATTTAAAAAAAAAATGTAATATTAAAAAATACTTTCTCTTCACATCAATGCTCAATTTTTTTTATTTGTATCTAATAACTGTTTATCATTCATTGTTGTTGAAGTTTAATTTTAAATTTACATTAAATTATTAAAGAACTAAGTTATGCAAAAATCTAAATTATGTCATTTTCTCAAAACAAACTTCAAATAAATGGAAATGTATTGCTTTATACCCCATTATGAGGACATCTTCCTTTCATAACACAATATTCTTCCTAAACTTTGATAATTCATACTTAATATGAAATAGCAATCTATGCCTCAAACAATCTTTACCATTTACAACAGTAGTTATAGTCAAATAGGTACTATGGTTAAATGATATAACTTATTTTTCAAATATTATGATTAATTATTTGGTATATTAAAACAAGAAAAGAAACATTTTATTAAAAAAGATTTTAGATTTATGTTTTTTTAAAACTAACAACACAAACAAAGTAAAAATACAGGTACCATTTTAAGTAGAGCACAAAAGGTTTAGTGTATATTGCCATAACGGATATTTTGATAACTTCAACTGCTTTAACTGCCACTTTCTTACCATTGCAACTGTTAGTTGCCAATCTGTCACGCTCCTTTATTAAAAATATGATAATGATATTAATTTCACACAAACATAATAATAAGATTTTTATTAAATTACCGATTTTACTCATCCATAATATAAAGAATGACCAGATAGTACAAAAGACAATAATAATTATATTTATTATACTAAAATAATATATGTAATTAAAGAAGAACATTAAAGGAAGAAGTCTAGCTATAATGGCAGTATGAAAAGTAACAATAAAGTATTAAACAATAACTACTGCAAAAACATGAGCTTCCCAAATGTGACCTCCACTCTCTTCCATTTTTAGGATTAAACCTTTTTTTTTTTTTTAAATGATAAGCAATACATTGATAACAATCATTAAAATTATTTAATAATGAGTTTATAATCAGTGTAAAATGAAATTTGATTTAAAAGTAAGGTACATTCAAAAAGCTTCAATGACTTTCCTGCCGTATTGACTAGTCAGCACGTATGTACATGCATAGTGTATAAAAAAAAAATCCTAAATAACACATGTACAGGAATTTTATGCCCAAACATTTGGCAAATTTAAGTTGCAGGCATACAGCCATATCCTTGGTGGGAAAATATTCTGGCGACTTGCAATATTTTGTAAAGCCATTGTAAAAATTACAGCTATTATTCACTGTAAGACCCATTTAGAAATCACACAGTTTAAATAAATTATAATAAAGTTAACTTATGGAAGAGTGGGTAAGAAATTGATCAGCCATTTAAAAGATATTTGGGTTTTCTAAATGCATGATACCCGGTACTAGGTACTAAAATAGTACATGTTCCAATAAAAGTACTAGGTACTAAAATAGTACATGTTCCAATAACAAAGTCATTTTATAACATAGGAAATAATGACACTGAAAGTATAAAATGGTACATAAAATAATAATTCTTGAACAGTTGGAATGATTGAATGCTTTTAAAATAAGAATTCACTTTATATTTTTTTAAAGCAAATCAATACATATGCATTTCTTGATATGATGCTATTTATGTTAGCGCCAATATTAAGCTTTTTATATTCTGTTTAATTAAGAGAATATTAGTCATTAAAATGTTACTCAATTTATAAGTTCCTTTCTGGCTTCACATAACTCCTGTCCAATGCCAATTAAGCCTCCCTTGTTTGGGCTTAACACCACACAAATTTAAGAAGTATTAGTGCTACTTTCAACAAACCAGCGGGGATTAATCCTATGCAGCAGCAAACATAAGTGATGTAACAACTGGAGCATTTCACTTATGATTTCACATTTTTAAATTAATAATGTGATAAAAAATATTTGAACGATTTTTTTAATTAAGGCAACATGTGATTTCGATTTCAGTTCCAAGCTGATGCTGAAAATTTTAAAATGCATTTATTAAGGCTTGAAGCAAACAATATTCTAAAGAACTGCTTAGACAAGCAATAAGTGACCCTTAACCCTTTACAGTCCAAGCCTATTCAGCCTTGTCTACTCCCAGCGCTCAAGCAAAGGGACATAACTCCATTTTATATGAAGGTTCTTTATCTAATTAATTTACAGAAAATAAACTAGAAGTAGAAGCAAGAAAATAAAATAAAAAATACCTAAATACAAATAAATGATTAAAGCAAAAGTTAAACCTAAAAATAGTTTCAGAGACCCTCCCACTCATGAAATAGTGAAGCTTCATTAGGCCTAAGTTCTTTCAAAAGTGTATCCAAGGCTTAGATAGCCATTTTTTACAGCGAAAAAATCGCAACTTTTAAAAAAATAGTAGAAAATAAGCTCCTAAACACACCGCGGTCAAACTAGTATAAAAATAAATGCCGACAACGAGGCTTTCTTCGGGTAGAACTATAAATAGTAATGCGCAATGGATTTCCGCTGTGCTAAGAACGAAAGTAAAAAACCTCGAAACGGGCGGGTTTGGCCGCAACGGAATGTAGGCTTAAGGAAAAAATCGGCGCATTTTGGGCGCATCGGACTGTAAAGGGTTAAGTGTAGTATCTTTTTTATAAGTTACTAAAAAAATTAAAGGACTGTCATTTTATTTCTCCATCAGCTCTAGGTTATGGTTAGAATTATTTGGTTTATTCTACTTTTGTAATTATCTCTTAATATAAGAAAATATTAATATGGTAGAACCTCCCCTTTAAAATTGATTAGTTTGCCATGACTTTCATCACCAGCATTTCCTATAACTTTCAGCATGCCCTCAACACTTTCATCTGGTCCAACAGGAGCCTGGCTTGTGCCCATATCTGTACGAACCCAACCTGGATGTAGAGCTGCTACCAGTATCCCAGAATCCTTCACTTCCCGACCAATCATTATGCTAGCCATTGTGAGCGCTGTCTTGGAACATCTTTAAAATTAAAAAAAACACCAGATCACCACTTGTTTTTTCTTCTAAATGGCATTTTCTTTTAACCTCATTTACATTGGTAATGATAAAAATTAACTACCTTGAATAAAACACTGATAAAAATTAACTACCTTGAATAAAACACTTATAAAAATTAACATTAAAATTTATTAAATTAAGCGCAAACAAAAACAATTGCATTTCTTTATATTTTCTAAATATTTACATTTTTTAGAAAAGATTATTTTGAGGTTAGCTTTCACATTTGCACTATTAAAAAATGTACTTACTTATAATAAAGAGATACACCATGTCCTGTATGGAATGTATGCTCTTGCGACCCCATGACTGAAGAAATCATAATGACCCCAGCTTTGCTAGCACTCAGATCTTTTGAGTTAACACCTGATGCTGCTTGCGTGAGAAGGGGAAGGAACTTCTGTGTTACCATTATAGGGCCTGAAATTTGAAAATAATAATACTTTTACTGTTGCTACTTACTTATTTTTTAAATCTTGTTGAAAAAAATATCTCACTTCCCTGACACAATTTATTAAATATAACTTGTTAATCAATGCCCCTCAAGTTTATGTGGAAAATGAAATTTTTGTTGGTAACATTTTGGAATTTGTGCATAATATCGGAATAATTTGAACACAAAATAAATAGTTAATGTAATGCATTACAATATTTTACAGGTTTTACTATAGAAGAAAAATTTAATACATTATTTAATTTTTAAGAATTCATTTAGTAGTTTATCCAGAAGGGTATGGCACTTTATAAGTTGTGCTGTGCACTGCAAAATGCACAACTTAGTGGTAACATTACACACGAATTTTATTTCACCTATAAATAATTTTCTAACACACACACATCCCATCCTCTAAAATAATTATTTAAAATCAACTTTTGTTTGAAATCAACTGATATTCCATTATAATTTTAAAAAGCAGTTACTTGATACATTGGCATCAAAGTGTTTTTGCAATTGCTCTCTTGTAACATCTTTTATATCTCCAGTGCCTGCCTTGTCAAAATAGCCTGCATTGTTGATGAGGAGGTTCAAGCCATTGTCTCCTAGAACAGCCTTTGTTTCCTATATCAATCAAAGATTTAATAAATAACAAAAAATTTGACTTCTGAACTTGAAGTAAAATCTATGTTGGACTTAAATTTCTTACTCTACAACTACAATTCCAGATTGATGACTTACGTGATTTGAACAAAAATCACAATTTACTTGACTATATATTTTATTCTTGATGTGTCTTAAGTTATATTGTCATACCCCTTATGATTATTTGTTTTTAAAAATGTTACCCTATATAGTATATCATTTTAGGCATTGATAAACTGAGATAAAAAGAAAGAACAGTTAAAAAAATGTTCCTATGCTTTTGTCAGAATGAATGACATGCTTTAAATTTTTTTTATTTATGAGCAAGACAACAAATAAGTTAGAAGTTAGAGCAGCGCCAGCCTTTAGGGTGTGTGACCGGTGCCCTCACACAGGGTGCTGTGGCCATAGGGACACCTGGGGTGCTCAGTAAATATTTAAATTCCCTTAGTCTAAGGCCTTAGTTTATTATAGTGAAATGTGAACCTCGGGTCAGGTGTTGAGAAACGGACTATGTATAGCATCATAACACGTGCTCCTATAGCCTATGTCGTAATCAGAAAAAGAGCAGAGCCATACAGGGAAGGGGGCGCCGAACTGGTGCTTCACACAGGGCGAAAGTTAACCTAAGGCCGGTGTTGGTTAGAGTTAAACTAGAAATTATTAATATTTGGTTGTTAAAATTAATAATATTTTTTCTTTTTGTAAAAAAAATAGTAATAGACTATTAAAATTTAAATAGTGGTTGTTAACCTTGCGGAATAATTTTAAAAGTTCTTGTCTTGCATTTACATTTTATTTAGATAACTTTCACTTTCAGTTATACTATTAATAGTTAACTTGTGATTATGAATCACTGTGACATTTAATTTACTACTTTAGACTTAAGTTTAAGTATAGTCATAGTAGGGCATAAGTTATGCCAATCATGAAGAAAATAAAACAAAGAAAATAAAACAATCAACCACACAAGTAATTAACTTGCCAGGGATTAAACTTTACTAAGAAAATTATGTAAGAATTTTTCTTTAAATTAAGTTTAAATACATATAGTTAATTTGAGGTTACCTGAAAGGCCGATTCAATTTCATCATCCTTTTCAACGTCTAACTTTATAATTTTTACCGACGAGTTCGACGCAGCAAGTGTTTGCAGATTCGTAGCTTTCGACGGGTCTCGGCATGTCGCTATCAAAACTTCTGGTGGTGATGAGGACTTCAAAAGTTGTTTTACGAACTCAAAGCCCAGGCCACGAGAGGCACCAGTCACTAATACACTACGAGCTGACAGAGTCATGTTAATATCAAATTAAAACTAACACGCCCTACTACTAGTACATATGGATCAGTTTTATTTAAGTATAACAAATGTGTAGATCAGCTAAATGTAACAAGTTTTTTGTAACACGTGATTATCGTTCTTGTCCTGTGAGATAACTTTTAAAGAATTTCCTGGGAGTGTTCAGAATTGGCTATTGTTGACAATTTAATATAATTTTAAAAAGGTATTGTTTGAATGTTGAAAAATACACAGAAAGCTAGGTTCTAACCAACATATTATAGAAAAAAACAGTCATTTTTAATATATATATGTTTAAATTTTTTTTATTCAGCAAAAGCCTCTAGCAGACCTTGACCTAGATAATACAGATACTTCGCGAGACGATTGGAGTTAATATGAGTTCCTGAAATGGCATTGTCCGCTGCACTTATTGCCGGAGAACCTTGCCTCCTGGTTTAATTTGACCTCCCTTAATCCTTTTTTTATTGCAAGTGCTTTCTTTCACACATCTTCTGCCTGTTTGACTCCTTCATATTCTGATGTTCGTCAGCTGGAACGGTGTTCAACAATGATATCTCATTTGTTGATACATAATATGTTTGCTTCCCTCATGTTCCTTTTAGCAAACGTCCTTAAATCGCAGCCCTGGCCGTCCAATAAGTATTGCCCCCTCTGCCAACTTTCCATTCAGCAGATATTTTGGAATATGAACGTCCTCCATTTTCATTATATATGGCCTAAACAAAGAAGGTTCTACTAGCTCAGAGCGGAGAACATGCTACATATTTTGGCACGTTCCAAAACCTCTGTGTTAGGCACTTTGTTCCAGGCGCGTCATTTCAGATTTTTTTCAAAAGGGGAAAGTGGGGGCCAAAACTTGGTAAGCTTGTTAAGTTGTTTATTACTGGAGGCGTCACCATATAGGCCTGTAGTAATTTAAATAAAACCTAAAAATTGGGGGGTGGGGGTATGCGCCACGCTGCCCTACCCAAATGACGTCCCTGGTTGGAATTGGGGAAAAATATCTCGATTCGCGAATGTTTCGGTTTAAGAACGGAGTCACGGAACTGACTGTGTTCGTTATCCGAGGTTCTGTGAAATTTGTATTAATATATCCCACCCCTTTTTAGTAAAAGTAAACGAGAAAAATATTTCGAACGTTCATCAAAAAAAAGCATATTGATTCTCAAAGAAGTTTTTGCTTAATGATAGCCCCGTTGTTTGAAAGATACGTTTTGACATAATTTGGTATAATAACGGATCGATCTTTATAAAAAGGTCATCAGCAAGAATAAAAATTGAATGAAATTTAAAATAATTTTAGTTTAAGGTAAGTGTGTCGAGGTTTATATACGGTACATATATTTAATCTTAACATTGTCATCGGAACGGCGCATGTTCAACTTGTATCAACGTTGGATTCAGACGCTCGCAGCTTGGTTATGAAAGAAGGCGCGCAATTATCTTTATCATGCAGGTGCGTAGCGAAATAGGGGGGGGGGGGGGGGGGGGGGGGGGACAGATGTCATCGGGGTGCCAGTTAATTAAGGGCGCCAAAATGTGCTTTGATATTATTTTGTTGGTGAAAATAATGGGTTTGAGAGTTGAAAAAAGAAAAGGGGGCGCTTTATGAATGAATCTTGTCCCCGGCGCCAAACACTTTCGCTACGCCTCTGATATCATATGTTCTCGTTTAGCTGCCATGCACGCTTGGAAGATAATAAAATTGAGTCCAACACATCATATGTTTATCATACTATACAACAAAGGGATCAGGGTTCTTCCAACATCAAACTTTTCTTCTCCAAAGTGTTTCGACTGCTGTTATATTCAGTTCCAAAGTTCCAACCACTTTAAATATTCATTTTGTGTGTATGCATGTTCAGTGGCTTAGCCAGGGTTAGTGCCCACGATCGGGAAAATAATTTTACCCCGCCCCCACTTTTTCCACGAAAAAAAAACAAACAAAAAAACGTTGCCTTTTGCTGAAAAATGCCAACCATCCAGATAAAAGGACAATGCGGGGCGAACCGCACCCTCCAACATTTTTTCATTCGTCTCTGTGTGTGTATGTGAAAACCCCATTTTTTTCACATTGAAATGTCTGAAATGTAAATCATAAGTCAATGCCAAGGTCATAAGGTATGTTCCCCCTAATCAATTGTCAAGTTTTGGATCGTTTGGATTACTTTTTTTATTTCATTTATTTATTTTTTGAAAAATAAAGCCGCTGTCTGTCCCTTTCATCCAAATTTTTAGGTTTTCTAAGAGAAATATTACAGAGTATATAGCATTTTGTGTAATATCCTTTGTCGTTGTATATTTAATTATTCCTAAAGAAAACAAATCCGTACCACTTGATTACATTTACTATTAATACTGGGACAAGATATTATGTTTAGGCTTGAAAAGAAAAAAAAAACAGGACAATTTAAACGGGCGTTTCGGTTGGAATCCCTCTTGCACAGTCAGCACGGTACAAAACAAGAAAATGCAGATAGTTTCAATTATAAATAGCCATAAATATCCAAGCATTCAGCTATATTAACTGCACATCATTGAGATTTATGAAAACATGTGGGTTTTTTTTTGTTAACCTTTCTTTTATAGTATCTATTCTTTCTTGTTTTGCATTGTCTGCGAAGAAGGCTTTTACTTTTAGCCGAAACGTCAATTTGATCGCCCTGTCTTTTCTTTTCACGCCTAAAATATCTTGTCCCACTATCTATTTATATTCGGAATAGTACGAAAAGGGCAGGTGCAGGTTGTTGAGACCAGGATATAGAGTTCAAAGGCCATTAACTATCATTATTCCGTTCCCGAACCCTTCCCATGTCAACGCTTCAAAAGATAACCAAAATGTCAGTGTAACTGTGTGAATTTATAAAGTCTTCTAACAATATAGGCCAGGGCTCCCTTTTATAATGTGTTCGAGACTTGTGGAACCAGTCTAAACAAACGACTGCTAAAACTTCTAAAATTTAAGTGCTAGCGTTATCAGCAAGTTATGTTTAAGCTGTAGGCTTAAATACTCAGGGTTGTATCTACGGTGTTTGGCAAAGGGGGTCGGAATTTTTTTAAATTGGATTGCATTAGCCATTGCTCAATTTTTAGGCCTACTCTACTTTTTTTTAAGACGTGGTGGTGCATAATTAGGCAGACTGTTTAGTGCCTTTGTAAGTCAAATTCATAGGATAGAAAAATAAATTAATTGGGTGTATACGTTAAATCCTGCAATTTGTGCAGTGTAGGCCTCGGAGAATTGTGACTAACTTTTGAATTAATAGAAATTGAGTTTTTTTTTAGCGTCAACAGGCGGTCCCTGTTCTAACGTCTTGTAACGAGATTATAGAGTTGTCCCAAACGTTGTTCTGACGACTCTAAATCTTTTTAGCCAGCGGTAGGCCTACATATTCCCGGAGACTCTCTTGGAGTTTGAGCAACAGGCCATGGCGATGGCGCCAGACCTTGTCACCAGCTTGCTTTAAGTCCAAATAGACGGCGATGGTACTGTCTTTATTTTTGGAAACCGTTCCTTACTCAACTTACTGATTGTAGAAACTAGAAACCGTGTAACTTGGTCGATTGTTTTTTTTTTTTTTTTTGGCTGCCTGTGGAAACCGCTCTTAGTCTAGATTACATCAATTACGCCATTACTCTCTGAGAACCAATACAACCAATCACGTATCATTCGTTCAGCCAGTTTTCCCAACACAGTCGAGTGCGTGATTTGTTTTTTAAGCTCGAGGGCTGATATACTGGTTTGCCTGATTTTAGGATCGGGGTAATGGTGGCCTTTCCCACGCGTCGGATATCTTTCATTTGGCCCGTGTCCTATTTAAGAGAAAAACAAAAAAAAGTGCGTTGTGCCACCGGATCTGAGTTGCATAGCATTTCATTTGTCATCTAAATCTGCCCTGGCTACTGTTTGACATTCGTTTAGTGCTCTTTCCAGTGCACTCGTTGTGAAGAGGGACGACGTAACACTGACCCGGTTTGCTCCGGGTTTAGTCTCGCCGTCTTTGCGCCATTTTTAAGGCTGAACTTTCTTAGAGTTTCTCTCTGGGTTTTGCTGACGTTGGCGAAGTGGTGCTTGTTTTAAGCATTGCAGCGCCCTAAAGTCCCAAGTCAGTGGTCACCATTATTTTTTATCCGAATTAAGCGAGCACATATTTTGCCGCGCGTTTTTCAGAGACCTAATTTAAGCATTTGCCAATCTGCAGTGTTTGCTCTGGTCTATGTTGGCACATACTCCCCTCCCCCCCCCCCCTTTTTCACTTGTCCCGTTTAACTTTTTACAGAGATCTTAACAATTGAATTTTGGAGGTTGGTCTATTATACGCTAGGCGGTTCTCTGTCGACTCGTGTGCAACTCTCCGGGCTGCCTAGCGTTGTTGTTTCTATTTTTTACCAGTTCCATGAATACTGTGGTCCAACCTGGATGATAGATGGTTTCTTCTCCATGCCCGGGATGGGCTATTTTTCCACCTTGAGGAATGCGTCCTCCAGGGTGCCCATTTTTCGCTATACAATTCAAGCCGTTATTTTTTTTTTTTTTATAAGAAGCAAGTTTTATGTATTTAAATTATACACAATGTGCTCGTTTACCCACAAACAACTCTTACAATAAGGGTCAATTGTCAGTTTTGCCACTCCAACAAAGATACCGTTTAACGGAGTGGACACTTAACTCTTCTCTAGAAGTTTTGTAAATGGTCACATTGTGCCCCGTGAATACTTGTTACTATCAAATGAACTAGAGAAATGTGTTACCACAGTTGCCATTTACAGGTGTCTAACTAAAACAAGCATGATAAGTTCAAACTAGGCAGACCCCTACTAAACCTGTTTAGCAAATTTAGGCTATCCTCGGGAAGTTACAAAATATTAAAATGCAGAAAACTCAAGTGGTGCATTTATCCTTACAGTTTAAATTTTTTTTTTTAAAAAAAGAAAAGTTAAATCAAAGGGTAGGTCACAATGGTATGTAGGCCTGCCTTAGCACTATCTATACTGCTCTCAGGGTAAAAATAAAAGCAATGATTTTTTTTTTTTTTTTTTAAATGAACCCCACAAACAAAAAAAGTTAACTTTAATTTTAATTTTTTTTTTAAACAAGGAAAAAAATAATTCAAAGGGTAGGTCACAATGGTATGTAGGCCTGCCTTAGCACTATCTATACTGCTCTCAGGGTAAAAATAAAAGCAATGATTTTTTTTTTTTTTTTTTAAATGAACCCCACAAACAGAAAATGTTAACTTTAATTTTAATTTGTTTTTTAAACAAGGAAGAAAATAATGTGAAGAAATTATATTATGATTGCTGAGTTATATATGACATAAAATAGCACAGAAAAGAAACTGATTAAATTTGGAAATGATAAAAACTTGTAACCAATACATTGGAATATAATTGGTTACAGAGTTAGAATGCAAGAGTTAAGTAAGTAGTTAAGAGTTCTCAACAGGATCTCAATTTTTCTATCCTTAAAATAAGTAGGAAGTGTAAAGGATGAATGGTAAAATTGAATTCCTAGTCTAAGATACAGTCATTAGGCCCTTATCTATCTCCAACATTTTTATTTCTTAGTGGTGCATTCCTAAACTTTACAGAGGGTATATTTTACTGAGTTTTAAACTCCACTTTGAATACTGGTATCAAAATTTAGGTTAAATTTATTCATGCCAAAAGAGAAAAGGGTGTACACTCTTCAGTTAAAAAGAGAAGAATGTATCCTGTAGTTTCTATTGGCCAATCACAGAGTATTTATCTGGTTAATTTATACTTTTTATATGTAAAAGGAAAACCTCATACTATTTTTTTTTTTTAAAGAGAGGCATGAGGCTGATTCTGACAATAGCTTTTAACAACTTAAATTGCAAACTGAAAACACAAATCCCTCTGGGTCCAAAGAAATCTCTTCAGGCTAAAAACATTATTGTTACACCTAATTAGTCTTTGGTTATTCTTAATGAATGATCTTGTGAAAAATGTTTCACTTGATATCTAAAAATAATTATCAAGAATCAAATTATAGTGAAAAAATTCAAAGCGATTATCTATTAAATAAACAAAGTAACTTAGCCAATAAACAATTTTCAAAAACTTTCTGTGTCGAGAGTATCAAAAAAATATGAATGATGCTGACAAGGCATAATTTTCATGCACACTGTCTATGAAAATAAATGATATACTTATCTAACTTTAAAATAAACATATATGGCAATTACTTGTTCTAGCAGGCAGTCTCATGACAAGATTCCAGACAATGTTGCGGGCACACACAAGTCATTGTACCAGCCTGTGTAGCATGCACACACATGAAATGGTACCTTATAGTGTACCGGTACAAATTCCCATCATGACAATGACATCACAAAAATTGGGCTTCTGACTTAGGCATGATACATTTTCTTAGAATCATAATTGTGTTGGAGAAAAATTTTACAACCATATTAAAAAAAGGTTTGACTCCAAATCAACTGCCTCGCTTGAAATAATTAATATTAATAATTGTAAACATTTTGGCATGAAGTGTTTGGCACTCTGAAAACATTTCAAAATGCAATATTCAAATCAATATCACAATACAATTAGCATAATGTTTAAGTTATTAAAGCTTGATTTAAGGCAAAATTTAAATAAAATGACATCTTTGGTTATTTCTTATGAACTAGAATTTACATTAACAATCAACAGGTTTTTTTTTAAATCTGTGTTAAACATGTCAGATCTGAAAACCTGATCAAACATCAATAAAATACTGATAATCAATAAAGATCACATTTTTTATAAATGAATGTCCTTTAGAATGTAAACATTCCGAATATAATAACATTAAAAAAAATTAAGCATAAATATTGCTGATATTAATTAAAATACACTATAATTCTGCACAACTATTTTACACAAAATAGCATTTAAATGCTCAGAGGGAAATGTTATTTCACCATGCCAAGGAGCGAGGATAAATAAAGGGAGCAAACTCTTAGAATGGAAGGACTTTCCCTTTAAGGTCAAGTTGCCTCCCATTGCTTTCTTCTCTTGCTTCACTAATGACTTTTAGACAATCTGCAATACTCTCTTCAGGTCCTATTGGTGCCTCATCAGTACCCATGTCAGTGCGGACCCAGCCAGGATGCAGGCCAATCACCAATATCCCAGAATCCCTGACTTCTCTAGATATCATGATAGTAGCCATGTTCAAGGCAGTTTTAGAACAACTGACAGAAAAATAAAAAGTAGAGCATTCTTCAAATGTTTTATTTAATTTCATTTTTTCCTTCCTAGACCACACAAAATGTTTTGTTAATTTTACATGGGTATTTCTAACTAACGGATAGTCCACCCCCACCCCAAAAATTGAACAGCAGCTAGTACTTCTGTTTTAAAGTTATTACAAAGATCTGTTGTTTCCTGAAGCGCCTGAACATTTTAAATATATAATTTTCATTTCTTTAAAATTCACCCGAGTCTTCTACAGTAATCCCAATCAATGTTCCCTCTAAGGTTCGCTGGTTAGTGTGCAAAATCATACAGTTGTATGCAAAGTTTTACAGCATCAATTTTTTTGTGTGCAAAATTTTACAGCCCACAAACACACTTAAATGGAAATTTGCTGCGCGAATACTCAAAACTGCTGCGCAGCGGCTGTGAGATAGGTGTACGGCCGCGCAGCTTAAAGGGACCATTGATCCCAATGTCTTAAAAACCTCCTGAGCATTTTAATTTTAGCAGCCCCTGCAAATGATCCTGAGAACCACTGCAGTCAAAAAAGGTAGTGTGTCAATCTTATAATCATGAAGTAGTAGGGATATAGATGGAATGCTTCTGGAGCAATAGGACAAGTGGAGAAACTAATCTTGAGAAGGAAAAAAGCCCTTGAAAAATTGAAGAAAATAATGGTGGTCATGAAAAATGTCTGAAACTTACCAAAACAAGTACAAACCACTGCAAGTGTCCCTATGATTTTCATTGCTCAATCAAATGACAAAATGCAGTTTTCACTAATAATATAAACAGGGGAGATTTGTAATGCTAAGCAATTTGCTAAGACAGTCTAAGGACAGTAATCCATACACCACAGAAAATCAAAGGGGGTTAACGAAGAACGTAAAATTAGAATTAGAGCACAACAGTTTTATTTTAAAACTCTTAGCTCTGCAGTGGAAAAAGGTAGATTCAAAATGAATTGCATAGCGTACTTGTAGGGGGTCCAGTTAGCATGAGCAAAAGTTCCATCAGCAATGAGTTTCTGTGATCCCAACGCTGCAGAAATCATAACAATACATGCTTTGCTTGCACTTAGCTCATTTGACTTAATCAAAGCTGATGCTTGATTAAGAAGGGGGAGAAACTTTTGCACAACTATTATTGGACCTAGTGAATAAAATAATCAAAATTTTACAAAAAAGAAAATATTGCCTAAACTTCAGATAATTTTTTAAAAAATAGTAGTACAAATAGGCATGATTCCTTTTTAGTCTTAGTCAACGGTCAATGATTATTACCACTCAATCCTGTTCAAAGGTGAACATTTTTACAAGCCTCATTTTCTTAAATTAATACTATCTAAGTTATCTCTCATTTTTGAAAAGAGAGTTTCTAAATATTGTTATTGCTGTGTAAATCCTGTCAGCAGATGCTGAAATCTTAGACATGGTGCATGCTAATTATTGCCAGCAAAAATATTATTTTTTCTTCAACAAAATTGTGAAATTAGATCAAAAGATTTCTCTTGTTTGTTTTTAATTTAGTTATAGAACTAATTTCTATCATAGACAAACCCTGTTGTGGACTCTAACCAATGCAAAAATATCAAACTGTAGTCAGATCGATCCAACTTTTTAACTAGATAGAAAAAAAAACGAGGCAAGATTAAAATGCATTTATGCTTGCAATAAATCCAAAGGTTTGTGGGGTTTTTAACCACTGGAAAAACAAATATTAAACTTGTGTAATCAACTATTAAATAACTAAAATGAGCAAGGGATATATATGAAGCCTTACTAGTAACATTGACATCAAAGTGTTTCTGCAGACTCTCCCTAGTTGTTGCTATGAGACTGCCAGTATCTCTGTCTAAGATGCCAGCATTGTTGATTAGTAAATTCAGGCCCAAATCCCCAACAATTGATTTAGTCTCCTGAAATAGAAATAGTACAGTTACAGTTTTCATTATAAATTCAGTTATTAAGTTAGACATACCCAGGGTGCAGATGAATGAAACAGTCTCCAGAAGCAGGTTACCTCTAAACCACTCTTACGAACTGTATGGCCATATTCTTGAGCCAGTTTCCTCCGTTAAGTACTTGGGTGTTACCATCCAAAGAGAGGTCCGCTGGGACGAGCACATTAACAGTGTGTGCAACCGGTCAAACAAGACCCTGGGGTTCCTAAGGCGCAATCTGAAGATCGGCAACTCAAGCGTGAAAGAAAAAGCCTATAAAGCCTTTGTCCGACCTATTTTAGAGTATGCTTCTACAGTCTGGGACCCATTTACCCAGAAAAGCATAGACAGGTTGGAGGCGGTCCAGCGACGGGCAGCACGCTTTGTCATGAACCGCTACAGAAGCACCTCGAGTGTTGGCAGCATGCTGGAAACACTGGGCTGGTCGACATTGGAAGAACGACGACGACTATCCAGGCTCACCATGTTGTACAAGATAACAAATGGACTGGTGCACTGCTCCGGAATCAAACAGAAACTCGTTAATCTTCCCCCCAGACTGCGACGAAGTCACGACAAACAGTTCCGGCTGGTAAAAACAAGAACGAAGTACAGAAGCTCCTCATTCCTGCCGAAGACAATAGGGGACTGGAACAAGCTTCCAAAAGCAACAGTTGAGGCGGCTACACTCGATACATTTGTGTCTATTGCCTCCTGTATTCCAACCCCCAGTTCATAACACCACTGCTGAGTCGCCCTTGCAACCAGTGAAGTATCCCATTGAAACCCATGGACAGTAACATCGCAAACCTCTCTGAAACATAGGAGCCAGAATGATCAATTCATTGATCGTGGGCCCTTAAAATAAAGAAGAAGAAGAAGAACACAAAAGGACACCTGCAGTCCTAAACATTAGTATTAGTCAACTCAGAGGATCACTATGAATCGTGAAATGAACAGTTTAAAGTTAAAGTATACTATTAGAAAGTTTAGATAAAAAACAATCCTATACTATAAATATATAATTATAACAAACATCATTAAATTAAATATGTCACTAAATACCATTGCCATTACTATTAGTAGTATTAGTATTGGTCATTATCATTAGTCATTAGTCTTACTCTTAGTCAAAATTATTCATTAATTAAATTAAATCTAGGGTAAATTTTATGGACTGCCACTATTTTATAGAATTTCACAAATGTATCCTTAAATCGATCCCTATGCCTAACCTGAACCCTAAATCGATCCCTATGCCTAACCTGAACCCTAAATCGATCCCTATGCCTAACCTGAACCCTAAATCAATCCTTCAAGCAACTATAATTTATTTAATAAACACACAAAAGACGCAGCCGTGGCAGCCATCCTTAATATTAGCCAAATCTAGTAAAGTATTATTAATTATATTTATTAGAATTAGAATAATTAAATATCGCAAATTTTCTCAAACTCAATTTTCTGTGGTACCTGTGAAGCTCTTTCAATGTCTTCATCTTTCTGGACATCCAATTTAATTACTTTCACAGAAGGATTAGCATTGGCAATATTCTTGAGACTTTCTGCAGTATTAGGATTTCTGCAACCAGCAATCAAAATTTTGGGCGGTACTGGTAGTTTCAAGAATTGTTTTACAAACTCAAGCCCCAGGCCACGAGATGCTCCGGTGACTAAAACTGTAGAAGGTGACAAATTCAATGACAAAGCCATGGTATCAATCACCTTAACCGTGTATTCAGTTTCAGTAATAATTTGTATCAAAAGATATGTTTAGTTTCCCTAAGCACTTTCTCAGTTCTGTCACTAGATTGTTCTATGCATTCAGAGTAATGTTTACACTTTGGATCATAGGCCAAAGGCAAAGGTCAAAGGGTAATAGTCAAGTTGAGTTCCAGGTAACTTCTTTTTTCTACCCCCCCCCCCCCCCCCCCATCCCCCTCTGGGGGGAAAAAACAACAAACAAACAAGCAAACTGTAAATCAACATTTCTAAGCTAAATTTTTTAATTTGAAGCAATCATTTTTTGTTTAATTTTCAGTTTATTAGGATACAATAGTATGTAAAATGTAAAAGTCAATTTATTTATTTGAACCTTTTCGGGTACAAACGATTTTTTAAAATATCATTGAGGTTTAATTTTAACGAAACAAAAATAATAATTTAAAAGTTGAAACTGACGAAATGCGTTCGACCGAACAAAATGATAAGTGTGGAGTGTGGAATCTGTCAATAAATTGTCATTCACTTCAGATTGAAATTATATTTATTACACCAGTTTTTGCAAGTCTTTATTGCCAATTTTTTAAATAAAGCAGTGTGTTAATTAGTAATTAGGATTATTCAAGGAGTGTATTTGAAATTTATTTATAAATATTATAATATGCAAAGTTTCCACCCACGTCGACGGTGTCACTCCACTCAACACTGAGCCAACATAGCCAACTGTGTGTGAAGGCTAATTAAGACTTTGACTTTAAGTTTAGGCTTCTCTTTCTAACCTTTTTGCTCTACAGTCTTACCAACCACTATTTTTATTGCGTATATTGATACTACCGACACTATAAATTATTTTCGTCTACTCATGATTCATCTGTCATTCAATCAGTGATTCACATTCACAGGTAAAAATATTACTATTACAATAATAATAACTTTGAAAAACATTCTCCGACTGGATGACTAAATGATTATGAAACCTTTAACTTTTAACGACCCTCAAAGAACTCAAAGTCAAAGTAAGTAATAACAGTAGTAAGTAAATTTAAGTAAAATTTAGATACTACTTTTTCCCTTGGGCTTGGGTGCTGCTCTTTTCTCTACTAAAGGAGCAGTCAATGAGCTAGTGCCACCCAGTAGACTAAACTGCCCACCCCACCTACACCTCTCTGTCCTCTTCTGCTTCTGGCCTCTCAGGTTTCTGGACTCGCATCTCTTTGGTTCCTGGAATCCACCTCTCTTTGGTTCATGGAATCACCTCTTTTTATACTGTCAGTGTCCCTATAACATTTCAGAAATTCATGAGCAATTGGAATTGTTATAGAATTCATGCTGATTTTGATCTGATTCATTCATAATCTTATTCATAGTCATAGTAATTAGACTTTCATTTCATAGATTATATGGTAAATGTTCTAATAAATTTATTAAGTATTGCCAGCTAATAAGTTTGAAGTGTAATCCTCCTGGTGAGAATAGGCATAGGCTTAGCCTATGCCGCATAGGGAGATGTGACATTAATTTAGTTACTTAAGTAAATATTTTCATAAGTTTGTGTTGATGAGAAATTCTTTAATGATTAATGACAAGGAAAATGTGCATTTCTATTGTAACTGAGGAACCATCATTGATTGGTGGCAACCTTTGTTGGTTTGTTGCTTATTTAACACACACACAATAGTATCTTATTATTATTATCTTGTCATTGCAAACATATCTTTATTTTTTTAAAATCTCAATCAAAGATTGCCTGCACTGCACAAGAAATTAAATTTAAACACTCAGTTGTTATTAAGTTGACCATACTGGTTTTTTATATATTTTTGTACAGTTAATTTTTTGCACAGCTTATTTATAAGAAACTTTTGTATATAAATACATTCAGTGATTTTGGAGGAGAAATTGCTGCTTATAATTTTAACTCTATGAAAACTGAAACAGTCTGCTCATTCATTCATTAACCTACCAAATTGTATAATATACTTGCCAGGCTTTTAGTTTTAGTTAGCATTATGACAATGAGCACAAGTGAATTAGAGAAATTGGATATAATGATTTATAAATTTATTCTGGCTATTTACAAATATATTTGTATCCCTTTTTTGTTTTAAAAAATCATAGATACCAGTAACTAAATTCAGCAAAAATGTGTCTTACTTAAAAGTTAACTCAAGCTGAAATCATGACTACAGATCAAGTTAAAAGACAAAGCAATTTGGACATTCTAGAAACATCCTTTAACACAAAAACTAGAATCCAAACAAGGAATGGCCATGTAAGATTTGTTTTTCTAATTTTTTGCAGCATGTATTCTATTACATTATGTTTTGTATCTCGATTTACATGATGAATGATAAAATGACAGACTATTTTGCTGTGGTTAGAGACATTGTACATCTGATATAATAAATAAAGAATGACATTTTTTTACCCACCCTTTTTAAAGCTATATAACATTTCCATTAACCACCACCTCCATTATTATTTAACATTTATAGCACCCATCCTCCCTCCCCCCCCCCCACCCCAATATCCAACCTTGATAACATTGGCACACATTTTTTAAAGCATTTGTATTAAACAACTGTTACTAATAACCAAATGTTTATTACACATACACTCCTGCTAAACTTCTTTATAATAAATAAAGAATGACATTTTTTTACCCACCCTTTTTAAATCTATATAACATTTCCCTTAACCACCCCCTCCATTATTATTTAACATTTATAGCACCCATCCTCCCCCCCCCCCCCCCACCCCAATATCCAACCTTGATAACATTGGCACACATTTTTTAAAGCATTTGTATTAAACAACTGTTACTAATAACCAAATGTTTATTACACATACACTCCTGCTAAACTTCTGGAAAACTATAGACTATTTAGATTAGAACTAATAACTAACCAATAAAGTATTGCAAAAGTACTTATAAATAATAAACTTTTCAAGATTTAAAGTTTCAAAAATGACAATTAATTTTTAAAAATAAAATAAAAAAGAGTTGTCATATAAATTTGCTCTCTACCCCCTCTCCACCCCATATAAAGCAAAATAACAAAATGATAAACCACCCCACCTCTTCACATTATATAATATGTGCACAGTCCCTTACAATTCACAGTGAGGTTGTTATCCCAGAGATGTGGGGAGAACTAGTACACACAGTTTTACAAAAAATACTTAACTTCAACCCCTAGTTGCCATAATGGTTGTTTTCATTCATAAATGCCCCTGGATTCAATTTAAATCAATTTTCAAGCAGGTAAACTCATGCAGGCCTCCCAGCAATGTGAATTGCTTTATCTCGACTCTTAGACTAGTCCTTTAGGGTCCCTTGATGTGGCTTATATAACACTGACTGAAAATATGGCAATGTCTTGGGGGCTCTGGCTGTGCCAATCTTGACCTATGAATAATCCATTTTGGCTCAACCCGCTAGGGGCCTCCACCAGGGCTGTCTTATTAAGGCCTAAATAAAAATATTTTACGAATTGAGATCTTATTAATATATATATATATATATCAATCAAAATCGTAGTATATTTACAGTCTTGTAATTTATCATCCCCAGGTGAAGATTCAGCTTCCTCTGTCTGAAGCATCCACTCAGACCGATGAGTGTCTGCAGTCAGAATATTTGTTTCCAAATCCTTTTTTCTATGGGCCCAGTACAATTAATGATCAACTCACTTCCACCAGTGAAGAGCTTCAGTCAGGGATAAGTGCTGAGGACACCATGAGTAGTGAACATTCTCAGCAAGTTAATGGCAAGACAGGATTTGTCTCTGAAAATTTCCATTTTGTACCTGTCAAGAAGAAGTCTGTGCTCTCAAGTTACCTTATTGCCTTGAGGCCTTGGTCTTTCACAGCTTCATTCACCCCAGTGGCTCTTGGCAGCTGCCTAGCCTACAAGTCTCAAGGGGCCTTCAACATTAGTGTTTTTTTCACAGCTGTATTCATAGCACTCTGTGTTCACGCAGCTGGCAATCTGGTCAACACTTACTTTGATTTCGTCAGAGGGGTGGACAATAAAAAAAGTGACGATAGAACTCTTGTGGATAATATATTACTTCCAAACGATGTAGTTACCCTCGGTGTATTCCTGTACATTGCTGGGTGTGCAGGATTTCTACTTCTGAATGTCTTATCTCCTGCTAAGCTGGAGCACCTAGCACTCATTTATTTTTGTGGTCTTTCTAGCAGTTTTTTCTACACCGGTGGTCTTGGGCTGAAATACATCGCTCTTGGAGACTTACTTATTGTATTGACGTTTGGGCCAGTCACTGTCGTATTCGCCTACCTGAGCCAGACGGGCCAGCTGTCTCTTGTGCCTCTAATCTACGCCATTCCCCTCGCCCTCAACACAGAGGCCATCCTTCATTGTAACAACACACGGGACATGGACAGCGATCGTCTTGCTGGTGCCATTACCTTGGCTATTATCCTTGGCAAAACTGGCTCCTACTGCCTGTTCTGCTTCCTGTTGTTTGCTCCATACCTATTGTTCGTAATCATTGGTGTCAATTACTCCCCATGGATACTCCTGCCTGCTCTATCCATACTTCTGGTCTTCAATTTGGAGAAAGAATTTCGAAGAGGAGAGCTTTCAGGGATGCCGCACAAAGTTGCACGTCTCAATATAGTAATGGGATCTCTGTACATACTGGCTGTTTACATGGCAGATCCTGGAACTTTGCCCACCATGACTCCTCTTGGTTCTTATAGTACCGGTATTTATTAATATAGTAATCATTATGACTCCTAATAGTCCTAATAGAGATAAATTATATTTGATACAAAGTATTAATTATAGATAGATGCCTAATGATGTAAAAAATAAAAAATAAAACTAAATGTAGAACATCATGATTTTTTTTGTGGACATGGCTTTGGAGTTCAGCCAGAGGTCCATAAAAAATTGCCTGAAAACCTTTTAGACCTGTGACTCAATCACTCATGTTACTTGTTACATTTTTTAATGAGATTGGCTTTCTTTTAAGTGTGTTTATTTGTATTTAAATTAAATCCAAAAAATTTCTTTTTTTTTTTGGTCACATTCTTCTGCAGTGGCACAGAGGAAATTTTACTGCTGAAAGATTAAAAAAAAAATAAAAAAATTTAAACCTTAAGTTTCCTCCTCACTGAACAAATGATGGAGCTGAAATTTTTTTTTTTTAAATGTTTCAGACTGAGATCACCCATCTGAAACTTGTTTTATGATGTTGATATTGACTTCCTATATGTTGTGTATTAGGTTAGGCCTAATAGCATGTGTGAGTGAAAAGATAACCCCCCAAAAATACTTCAGATATTTTGTTGCACTGAATGTGCTACATAAATGTTGTGTTGAGTGATAGTGTTATTATTAATATTGTAAATATGTTGTCACATATTGCTGGCTTCAATGTGATTGTTCACTGCAGTACTGTCAATGACAATCTGCATTTTGATTAAATTTCATTTTATGAGTAACTCAATAGGAAAATGTGATACTTGCACACTGTGAGAGAGTTCATTTCTTACAACAATTTTATATTTAATAATTTTTAAAAAATATGAGTGTTGCCTCACAGCTGCAATTAATTCTCAAACATTTTTTTTTTTTTAAGGAAATTTTTAAACTCATTTGTGAATGTGCATTTTTAAGAAAAAAAAAGTAGCTAAGATTACTTTATACATTTATATATTGTAGCCAGGTGGTTTTGTCAAATGTTTGGACAGGATGGGGCATTTACATCAGATACACTTTTGATGTTTATAAAACTGCTTAAGTTTCATCCCCTACTTTACTAAGTCCTACGAGCGTTAATTTATATGATAGTTACTGCCTAGGATTAGATGGGAGCAAGCTGTGACCGGTCGTAGCAAATCGATCAGATGCCATTAAATAGATTCTGTCTAAAATTAGAGGTGAGACGCCGATAGCACATTTTTGGCGGCACAAAGACTTAGGGGAAAAAATACAGACACTTTAAAACTTAAAATAATAATGAAAAGCACCTGAATATTATTATTTTTTAAAGAATGTAACGTGTCTTTGCCATGCAGCATCCTTAAAAAGAAGCTCAGCCGAGGCTTATGGCAAAACTTAGATAGCGTCAAACAGTAAACATTATAATGGTTATTGTAGATCCCCAGCATGTAACAAATTGGTTTTTATCATCAAAATTTGAAGGGAGAAAAAATCATATTCTGGCAATGACAGTCTTGTAAACCTTGCATTTCTTGGACATTCCGAAGCGAACTTGGGATCTTTTGTTTATATAAAGTGCTTTGATTTTAACATGAAGTTTGCTTTTGTCATGAAGTTTGTTTCTGTCATGTTTGTTTCTGTCCTTGAAGCTGAAATATTTGTGATTTCATAGGTGCAATATGGCATGTGACATCCCATGCAAATAGTTCAATTTTCATTCATGAAAATAGTATTATCAATAGGCTTTAAAATACTCTTAAAAATGATTCAAACTGCATGTTATGTTGGAACTGTCTGTGGTGCTCCAATAGCTCTTTGTGCACACGCTGCATGAAATGTATCCGCTGAATTTATGTAAGTTGTGGCGTAGTCAGTGGACCAGCTAGGGTTTGTGGGGCCAGTGGCTGCCTTCGAATTTACTGCCGCCCTCGAATTTACAGCCCTCACTCTCAAAAACTACAAAGCATCTGAAGGCTACAGCAATCAAAAGCATTATATTATCTATGGGTATATGAATGAGTACCAGAAAAAGATAACAATTTTGTCAGTGATGATACACCTACTTTAAAAAAAAAATTTTTTTTATCAAATTTGTGATCCATAAAAGTAAAACTGAAAAAAAGTTTGAAGGTGATAGTTTCTGGTTTTGAAAAAAACGTTCAAATTCCTAATAAATAACCAAAACAGAACCATGATGTATGTATGTTACAGACAGCTGAGTATGATCACCTTTAATATGCATGTATTTTCAACTGATGAGATATATAAATATATGTATATATATATTTTTACACATGATGAAACAGTTTGCCAAGAAATGATCTGATTACGTTCGTTGCTGCTCCGTTCTAAAAAATTAATTAGCACCTCTCGGCAGCCTGTCTGAGATGCCCACTTCTTTTGTGGTGGTTGACAAAATAAACACTACACCATAGTAAGATTGATGCAGTATCCAGTGTCTTTTTTTGCGTTTATTCAAATTTAAAAATGGCTTTTCCTGATTCGGGGGCCAGTCATATGTGGCGTGTGATTTGTGACATGGTCCTAAAAAAAAATTGTAAGATAGATGTGCAGCTATAATTACCAGGTGACTGGAGGGTGAATTCGCAGAGGCCAGGGCTAAACCATCACCCTGTCGTGTCATAAGTGTCACACTGCAAAACCATCAATGCCATCCAGTTGTGGCTACAACTACAAAGAATTCTTGTTGCCCTTGTTCACAGCATTATTTCCTATAAAACCACAGCCCATCGGGACAATGAAAATAATTAGGCAACATCCTTATGTTTGCTTTACATACAAAATGAGCATTTAAGACTACCTGCATGTGCTACGGTAACATTTTTTTCTCTCCTTGTTGTGACTCGCACAATTTTGTGTCCATCCAGTGCCCATCTCAGCCTTCTGTTCTAAACCCCTAAGAAAGCGCTGAAAGAATTCAAAGATTACACACAAAATCCCCCACCCCCCTCCCCGGAAAGAAAATCCTATCAGTTGTGCCTTTTTCAAAACTGTGCCAATTAAATAGTGATGACATGATTGGACTATTTGTGGCTTACAGTGAGTTGGTGAACTGTGACAAAGAAGACATCTGCATGGGACTGCTGGTGTTTGTGTTATTCAAACTTGTGTATACTGATTATTTTATTTAATTTAACAGTTGTCTTTTGCAATTCAAATTTCGAATTGACATGTTATATATACCCTGTTAAGTGTAAGTGGTACTGATGTTGAAAAAAAATATAAACAACTAAATAAAATTGATATTAAAATGATTAAAATAAAGCCATGTCCCAATTTGTTTTTTGTTTTTGTTTGTTTGATACGCTTTTTATTAGCTTTTTTTTTTAAAATTGAACACCATGTACAATGATGTGTTATCACTCCATGGAGCGGATATAGAGAAATATGACAGGTGAAGAGACGCCAACTTTTGACTTGCACTCACAAAGTGTGTTAACATTCTGACCAACCATCTGCAGTGCACAGGCAGACACACATTGAATAACACTTATAGTGTTAAAAGCCTAAACATATATGACTATTTACACTCATTAAATTGTTAAAATTAATGTAAAAAAAAACAGTCAATTTTTAAGATAAAAATTTTAATAGAGAAAACATGATTGTTGACGCCAACTAATCTAAACACCACCCCCTCCCCCTTGTCAACAACTGTTAAACAATACGATTAATAATTTAAGTCGTTTAATAAAAGATATAATTTGTTGATCAAAAGGCGTTCATAAAGTCCGTCCTGCTGCCTACTATTTGTGCACCATTTGTTCACACCCCCTCCCATGGGCGCCCGCAGAAAACTTTCTAGAAAGGGGGGGGGGGCAAAAAAATCGATTAACTTTCCAGTGGAGGGGGGGGGTCAAAATTTTTTTAGTAATTTTTAATGTAGTTTTAATTTACTGTAGCGTATTTGTATGGTGAACGAACGGACAGGGCATCAGCTTAGTTACTTTCTCTTTATTTTCTCTTTACTTTAATACATTTTTTGTCTAAAAAAAAAATTATCCAAATCAATCCGGGGGGGGAAGTGCCCCCCCTCAGGGCGCCCATGCCCCCTCCCTCCCTCCTCTGTCACAATCTGCCCACCACCTTTTAAATACGTTCCACGTTCAAGCTTTAAAAAGAACTGTTTAAAAAGAAAGGAAGGAAACAACTATTTAAATACCGGTACCTACGTTCTAATCCACACCTCACTATGAAGTGACACCTTCTATCAGACTACCTCACTATGAAGTGACACCTTCTATCAGACTACCTCACTATGAAGTGACACCTTCTATCAGACTACCTCACTATGAAGTGACACCTTCTATCAGACTACCTCACTATGAAGTAACACCTTCTATCAGACTACCTCACTATGAAGTGACACCTTCTATCAGACTACCTCACTATGAAGTGACACCTTCTATCAGACTACCTCGCTATGAAGTGACACCTTCTATCAGACTACCTCACTATGAAGTGACACCTTCTATCAGACTACCTCACTATGAAGTGACACCTTCTATCAGACTATGTCCATCACAACAGAAAGTTTTAAACAGTTCTGTCCAGTTCGGATTTTATACGCATGATAAACAATATATATAAAAATGTGAAGTCTTATATGATTTTTAACCAAGCACACTCCACCCCACTCTTTCTCTGAAAACTTTCACTTTCTTAGACCCCTCCAAACAAGGGGCGTCATTTCAGGGTTTTCCGTAAAGGGGGGAGGGGGGGGGGGGCAAAACTTGGTCGGCTTGTTAAATTGTTTGATACGGGAGGCGCCACGGTACATGGAAATTTATTTAAATAAAACCTGCCAATTTGGGG